GGGTGTGCAGGGTGGGGTGGGGGTGTAATCCGACATTTGAAGGAAAGTTGTTTTTGTCAAAATGTCAATATCTTTTTTTTTTTAGTCCTGTAACAAATTCAAAGAGGAATAAAATATTAATAGTACAACATGTAAGAAATATAAAACAAGCTGCATTTTTCAAAAGTCACAATCAGTTTTGCTTGAGCATGCAACAAACAAAAATAATTCCTTTAAAAAAATCAATGGACGTTAGTACATTGCAATAAGTGGCAGCATGTTTATACATTTCGAATGATGTAAATGAGTTGTAGGCGGGTGGGCTGGGGAACGGCTACAATTCGCCACGAAGAATCTTTGGTAAAGCAAAACTGAAGATTCATAAAAGCGTGTTTATACTACACCATACTTTCTTGAGTACCAGTTTGCTAGAGAAAAAAACCTATCAGCCCTCGTCTTCTACCCTTCTCTTAACCCCCCAAAAGATGTGAAATTACACAAATTCTTGCGACTGTTTCTCTCGAGCAAGTGAACCAAAGAATCAACTGAGACACTGGCCATCCTCAAGATTTCCAGCAACTTGGGCAACAAGTTCGAATCTCTTAAAGTCGGTCCTCAATTTTTCGGGCAGAACGTACCGCGCATATTTTACCATTCAGACTTTCAGTTTTACGGCACCCACGGCAAGACCAAAGAGAAAGAGCCAAGGAAACTGTAACTACTGAAGGTCAGGAATTTACACGATAGGAAATCGAACTACACAAGAGCTCGAAGGAAGAGGACACAAATAGAAAATAGAAAGCCAAGAACGAAGGAAGAAATCCAATATTAAAAAAAAAACAAAAGCACAAAACACCCAGAAACAAAACATAGAGAAAGAAGCGACGAATCGGAGGAGAAGACTGAATTTTGTCTTAAGGTTTTCGCGGAACGATACAACCACAGGAACTCCACAAGGCCAGAGAAAATCGTAAATGATAGGACAGAGGTAATATACAAGTCATGATAGAAATGAAGATTCAGCCGAACCAATACAAAGAATATGACCAAGAAGGCTCAGAAATGCAAGGATATTTGAAAAATTGAAACGAAATTAGACATAAAACAAGTCAAGACTGACAGAAAACGCATCAAGTCTTGGAGAAAAGACAACTGCAACAGACAAATGGAAATGGAAAATTGAAAACAAAAACAAAGAAATTTCACACAAAAGAAACATGACTAGTAAAAGTCTAAATTAGACCAGGTGAAAGAGGAGAGGCACTAAGAGCGACAATCGTCAGGACAATAGAAAGTGACAACATCGCGGGAAACAGCTCATCCTTCCAGCGGGGGCCGTGGCGTCTTCTAGAACTTCCCAAAGAGAAATCCATGCCGGATACCGAGGGACATGCCTGCACTTTAAACATCTCAAAAAACGTTGTCAAATAACTTGCACCTTTGTGTCGCCGTTACAAAATAACTTCAACTTTGTGTTATCGTAACAAAATTACTTTAGTTTCGTAGCGCTGTAACAAGATAATTTCCTATCTGTATGGTTGTTACAAAACAGCGATCATTTAATTGGGTGTATCTTATGGACGCCCTTGCCCTTGGGTGAGATGTTCCACGCGGAACGGACTGAATAACACTGGGATTCACCAGGATTTCTATTATAGTAGTCATAAACCCTTGGGGCCATTTCATTATATGCCACAACGCTTACTTCCAACGACTGAGACCACAGTGAGCGTTGACCAGAACATGAGAAAAGGGAGGGGAAAAAAGAAGTACAGTATCCTTGTAAATAACAATCATCTTTGAAACGGATCTATCGATTCGTCGAAGCACAGACATGTCACAAAAAATGTGGATCTACGCTGAAAAACATGTCTCTAAACCTGCTGACCCCCCCCCCCCCCCTAAAAAAAG